ATTGGAATCACATGCATCCGAAATCCTCACTACCCCCGCATTGACACACAGCGCCCTCACCCTCACTCCTACATCGGCGTCGCAAGCCGAGATTCCGATACCCCACGCCTTTCCACTCAACGAATTAACCATGGGCAGCACAGCCCCACTCATTGGCGAACATTTAGAAGTCTGGGAATGGAACTTCCGCGGCTTCCGCAGAAAGCTGAGCCTCCTCCAACAGTACATTAACACACACCTTGCTCGGCCAGATGTCATAGCGCTTCAGGAGCCCGGAACGCCACCCATATTTTTAGGTTATGAGTCCTATAATAGTCAAACAAGGGGCAAAGCGGCCATCCTGATTGACAAAGCGCTAACTGCAGTTGGCTTAGACAATATCCCAGACACCAACATAGAACATGTGATTGTGGAGCTAGTTCTCAGGCAAAAAAAGAAAGGAGAAAAGCGAAGTATCATCATTGTCAACGTATATAGCGCCCCAAAGCAAAACACCACTGATTTCCATGCCCTCGTCCAAGGTGCCTGCCGATTGGCCCATGGAGAAGAACTCTTACTGCTCGGCGACTTCAACGCTCTCGATGAACGCTGGGGTTACAACCGTTTGGATGTCAAAGGCAAACAGCTTGCGGCTGCCACTGAAAAATTTCAGCTTGAACTGCTTACGGATCCCGCGTTCCCTACCCGGATAGGCAACAGTGTGTGCAGGGACACTTGCCCCGATCTCACCTTCGCGCATGGCCGTGCAAACTATAACTGGGACAACCTGCAGAAATCCTTGGGCAGCGACCACTTCATTCTCTGCACAAAAGTTAGAGAGAGCGCAGCGCGTCGGTTTATTGGAGAAGCACGCATCACAAACTCGGACGCCTTTCGTCGTGAGAGCGAATATTCACTCGACAGCCTCACAAGCCTCACCGACTGGTGCACCCAACCTAAAGAAATTCGAGAGCGTTGGACCCCCACAATTAACAGAACACCTGCACTGCCGGAAGTGGACGGTCATCTGCTACATCTGTGGGAAGCCCGAAGGAGCCTCATCCGCAGATGGAGGACGCAAAAACATAACCGATGCCTCAAGCTAAAGATCGCCACACTCACCACTCAGGCAGAGCAGTACGCTACAGAACTGGCGCGACTCAATTGGGCCCAGTTTAGCGACTCTCTTCGAGGCTCATTGGGCACGGCCCGCACGTGGCACATTTTGCGCGCTTTGATGAACCCCACTCGAACAAAAAATGAGACGAATAAGTCAGTCATGCGCCTCATACACGCCTTTGAGGATACTGACGTCTTCGTCTTCCACTGGCATGCTTGTGCCTTCTGTTGCGAGCTTGACATTGAGCTCCTCAAAGAGTCACCATCGGGGTGAGGAAGGCTGGAAGGAAGTTGTACGGCTTTCCAAGAAGGTGACTGTGCCCTCGGCGGCTATCAGCCGGGTGATCGGGCACTGCGGTTGCAACATTAATGCTATCCACGAGTCCTCCGGTGCCCACATTGAAGTAGAGAAGCAGAAGGGCCAGGGAGAGCGTACCATCTTGATCCGAGGCTCTGCAGAGGCAACCAAGCAGGCGCAACTCTTGATCCAGAGCCTGGTGCAGGAACCTGAAAGAGACCTCTCGGACATAATGGCCCAGCATGGTGTTGCAGCTCCAACCCCTGCAAAGGCATCGACATCTTCCTCGGACCATCGAGCCTGCTCCTCCACTCCTGCCAATCACACCGGCTCTTCTTCGGCGCTAGTCTCTGGCAGTGGTGGTAGCAGTAGTAACAAGCTCAGTCGGCAGGGCAGCTCAACCAAGGTGGTGGGTGTGAAGGCTGCATCAGCACCAGCACCCTCTCTGCCACCATTTGGCCAAACACGTCCCGCCCCCCGACCTGGGATACCTGCAGGCTGCTGGATCAAGTCCGGCGAAAATGCTTCGGCGATTTCTACCCACCCGCATCTCAAGCTGCGTATCGTGGACGTGCCAATGACACTCTCGACCGACCAATAACGGTGGACGAAGTTTACGCAGCCATTCGCAGCAGCAATGGCAACACAGCTGCTGGGGCAGACGGAATCACGTACTCCCTTATCAGGAACCTCAACGACAGCGCCATACAAGAAATCACGGCGTTTTTCAATGATCATTGGCAACGTGGCACGCTTCCTCCTGAATGGAAGCACGCGGAGGTCATAATAATACCGAAGCCGGGCAAAAAACTTCAGATCGAAAACCTCCGACCAATATCCCTTATTTTCTGCCTTGGTAAACTCTTCGAGCGCGTCATCACTAATCGCGTGCAAGATTACCTCGAGGACAATGAACTTTTCCCGCACTCAATGTACGGGTTACGGGCACATCTTTCAACGCAGGATGTACTGCTACAATTAAAAGAAGTCATTGATAACGCCCCCCAGCAAGGAGAAAACATTATCTTGACTTGAGACATTAAGGGCGCATTTGATAACGTTAGCCACCAGGCCATACTTGAGGGCCTCGAAGCCCTTCATTGTGGGCAGCGCGTCTACAGTTATGTTCACGCCTTCTTGTCGGACCGCACTGCCACAGTTGGTCTCGGCTCCATCCGATCACATGTTATCAGGGTTCCGAACAAGGGCACCCCGCAGGGCTCAGTGATTTTCCCGCTACTCTTTAATGTAGCTATGGTTGGCCTGGCACATGAACTCCACCGCATCGATGGCATCCATCACGCAATGTATGCGGACGATATCACCATCTGGGTCACGCGGGGGTCCCTTGTAGAAAAAGAATATAACCTGCAGCAGGCAGCCACATCCGTTGAACAATACGCGCAGGCATGAGGCCTGGCCTGTGCAACAGAAAAATCTGAGCTTCTACGAATTTATCGACGCAAGCTCCCACCATCGACGCAGAACAACCAAGGCTCCCGCCTCCAGGTCATCCTTGCTGGCAAACAAATCCCAGAGAAATCCACCATTCGAATATTAGGCATGTGGGTACAGACGAACCGTCATGTGAATCACACTTTTTCCCTTCTCCGCACCACTACACTGCAAGTGGCCCGAATGATATCTCGGGTAGCCACTCGTCGCCATGGCATGCGCGAGGAGGACACCCTGAAACTCATACGTAGCCTCGTGGTCAGTAGGGTGACATACAGTTTGCCCTACCAACGCCTCACCAAGGGCGAACAGGGCCAAGTAGACGCAATGCTCCGCAAGGCCTACAAAGCGGCACTCAAGCTACCACCGGGTACTCCTTCTAGCAAGCTCCTCGCATTGGACCTACACAACACCTTTGAAGGACTTTGTCAAGCGCAACTCGCCACACAACTGCAACGGCTCACGCAAACACCTACAGGTCGTGACCTGCTCCTACGCCTTGGCTACATCAGCCAGTTTCACGACGCAGCTCGTCGCAAGCCCATTCCGGACCAATTTCGTGCCACTTATAAGGTCGCTCCCATCCCCCGCAATATGGATCCCCGACTACATCAGGGCCGGAGGGAAGCCAGAGGGGATGCCCTCGAGCGAACTTATGGACACAAAAACACTACGTACTATGTTGACGCCGCCAACTACGACCATGCAAACAATAAGGCTGTAGCCACAGTCGTGGACCACACACTCACAGAACGTACCAGCGCTTCCGTGCGGTGCCGCAACATCACCGATGCTGAAGAAGCTGCCATCGCGCTCGCTCTCGCCCTCGGCTACAGACAACGAAGGTCGCTGACAGTTCTCACGGGCTCTCAAGCAGCTTGCCGCAACTACCTACAGGGGCGCATCAGCCAGCCCGCTCTCAACGTCATCATGAGCGTTACAGACACTGGCGAGCATTCCATTACACATCCACTCAGAATTTGGCATCGGATTATATGGACTCCGGGCCACATGGGACTGGAGGGGAATCAGGCAGCGGATAGGGTAGCTCAAGGGTATGCGAGCCGAGCACCTTCCAACTCCGCCCCTGAGGAACTCGTTCCGGTCTCTTGCGACTATTCGGCCATCCTAAACCATTACAGGGGACTTAGGAAAGCTTATTCGCTACCACACCGAACACTAAATAAAGAGGAATCGGTCAGCTGGAGGCAAACTCAAACCGGAACGTTTCCAAATTTGCACATCCTGAGTAAAATGCACCCCTCGGCATACTCTCCTCTCTGCCCATGGTGTTCAGCTAAAGCCACTCTGTACCACGTCACGTGGGAGTGTCAGGCCATTACAGCCTTACAACCAGTACAAAATCCAACAGCGGAGCGATGGGAGGAGCTGCTGGCCAGCGAGAACCTGGAAGATCAGTTGAGTCTGATCAACCGGGCCCGCAGAGCGGCTGCTGCAAGCGGAGCCCTGGACTAAGAGCCCCCCCCCCCCCACCGCAAGCCAAGCATCTCCGACTACTCGGAGCTTCTCCGCAGAAAATTTCATGTAAATAAATAAATAAATACGCTTTCACCACCACCTTGAGATCGGGCGGCGGCTAACGCAACCTAGCCGTAATACTTAGTGAACTAGTCATTAGATTAATCTTTTTTTCCCTTTAAATAGTGAGGTTGAGGATTCGTACTTTGAAGTGAAGGGTTTAATTTTCACTCGTGCCTTGACTTTAGCCACCAATCAGATAACCTCCTTCTGGTTAATTCTACCCGCTTAAAGTCTATTTTGCCCTCCCTGTCCCTAAACCCCATCCTGCCCCCTCCCCGTCGCGCTGCAGCGGCCGCAACTGCAACTACTGCTGACACGCGCTCTCCCACTGAAAGCTGCTCTACGCGGACGTGCAATGTTTCATCCAGCGGCCTTGGTTAAGGGGCGTACGGCTCAAGTTTCGCCGCGCGCGTGCAGCGCCGTTTCGTCCCCTGGTGGCCTTTGCTCCAATTCATTGCCGCACACGGGGCGCACTCGTCCGCAGGTTCGCTTGGAGTACGCTGCTTGCTTCTTCGCCGTGATGAAAACTAGCGTGCCTAAGAGGAAAAGGCCGGGCTCTAAATATTGTTGTGTAGTTGGGTGCCACAACAGCGTCGCAAACACCAAGGGAAAAGAGCCCATCGTCCGGTTCTATTCGTTTCCCGGCAAGTGGTACGAGACAGACCGCCGAGAAGCCTGGATTAGGGCTGTGCGGTGGAAAAAGTCTTCATAGCATGCCATGACATTAGTGGGTGACTCTGGCCTTGTGTCCTTGGCACACGTGAGGGGTCCAGCTAGAAGAAAGAATTTCGGTTAGGTTAACAGTCGTCATTAAAGGCAAACTTACACTATTAGCTCCATCCTAGTTTTTTTTATATACTTCGCACTGACCGAGCTTTATTACATTTTAAGCGGCTATACAGGCATTAGACTTTCTGAATCACCTAGTTGAATAACTGGAACTTTTACTTAAATTGATTTATCCCTGCAACTTTTGGAGGAAGAACAAAGTTTTACACACTTTTTTTGTCTAGATACGGCCGGACTCGACGCTCCTTCCGCACGCTCCTTACGGCCTTCTCAATACCGGCGCCGCGCATATATTTTTTTCTGGCGTTTAGAGGGCAGCACCACCTCACTGTAAGCTCGGCCGGCTCCCCGCGTCGCCGACTGCGACTTTTCTTTACTGCGTTCGATGACCTCGGGTAAACAATGCATCAGACACGCTCAGGCACGCTAACTGCACTAGCGTAGCCATGGTTTATTGTTGCGTGCCGCTGTGTAAGTCACAGCAAGGGAAGACACTGGGTGTGTCGTACCACCAATTTCCTAGCGATGAGGAACTGTGTTCGAAGTGGAGGAAAAATGTTTCACGTGAAAACCTCGTCATCAATGACAAGTCCGCATCGACTGTAGTGTGCAGCAAACACTTCACGGAAAATGACTATGTTCCCGGATATCGTATCCGGAAACTGCGTCCAGGAGTCGTGCCCACGGTCTTCGATCAGTATCCTTCGTATATGGTCCCGGCTACGAAGAGGCCGCGTAAAGAACCTGCAGCTCGTGGCTCCTTAGCCACCCCGGCTCCTCGACAGCCGACGAAACGGAAAGAGGAGTCATCGCCGTCTACCTACGGGAAGTTCTAGTTCACCTTACAACAAAATAAATATTGCTTTTTCTCATCTGATTTTTGTGCGCTGTGATGGATTACTGTTGCTTGTGACAACACGCGTGTGCGAAAATCCGGGAAAGCTGCCGGAATGGTTGCGACTGGGTAAGCGGTGCTCTCAGAGGTCGACTGTACCATTTTAACCTCATCACATGCAACGACCGAGCTGTATTGTGTGGATAAAACGTTCATCTTCAAGAATTCAGGCGCCGCAGTTGGTTCTGTTCCTCGTATTCAGCGCTGTTATGATGTCCATAGCACTGTGGCGCGCACACTGCGCCCGTGAACGCGCTTGGAGGCGGCGGAGCATGGATGGATGGATGCTATGAGCGTCCCCTTTATAACGGGGTGGTGACAAGTATGCCACCAGGCTCGACAAAAAAAAAACCTTTTTTCTTTTTTTATGTTGGCCTAATGCCTCTACTTCGATAAATTCTATCTTAATGGAAAAAAAGGTAAATTTTCAGCTTAAGTTCTCTGCCATTTACGGTACACTGTCCATATTTTATTTTTCCAATATTTATTTTTGTCCTTTCTCTCTAATTTTCTGCCACCAATACTCTAACCGTCTCTTACTTATTTCAATCGCGGGTGTGTTCAGCTTTCCATTGTTGTCCCTAAAACCCAAGGCTTCCTGTAGGCTCGTGCCCAAACGTACACCTGGGTGGATATCTCCACATTCAATCAGAACATGCTCCGCCGTTTCCTTATCTTTCCCGCAGCATGTGCATTGTTCTTCTTCTTTACTGAATCTTGCTTTATAACTACGCGTTCTAAGGCAACCCGATCTCGCTTCAAACAGTAAAGCGCTTCCCCTTGAATTATCGTAAAATGCCTCCCTCCTTATTTCATTTTTGCCGTTTCGGTAGTTACTCAAAGCCGGTTTTTTCTCCATAGCTGCCATCCAGTAAATTCTCTCCGCCTCCCTGACTTTTCCCTTAACGCTCTTTGTTGACATATGGCTTACAATACCAGCCGTATATTTACTAGTGAGTCTTCTAGTTCTTTTTCTCCACTGGGTGTCCACGCTCTTCCTATACAAATAACGGAACACCTTCTCTGCCCATCTACTCTCCTTCATATTTCTTAGCCTTTCTTCGAACCTTATTTTGCTCTGCGCTGAGCAACAGTGGTCTAGCAGCGCCACCCCGAACTTGCGGCGGCAGGCAGCAAAACGCCGTAAGGGGTGGCGCTGCCGTAAGGGGTGGCGCTTACGAAGGCCCTAAGGGGAGCGCCGGAGAAGGAGCGTCGAGTCCGGCCGTGGTCTAGAGAGGCTCTAGAAACATTCAGATAGCTGTGTATGGAGAGTAAAAAGAAAGACTTCGAGACGGCATTTTTTCTCAGCCTCTTGCAACTGCATAGAAATTGCGATTTTGGTGTTACTTTCACGAAGAATGCAACGCTGCTAGCATGAAACTAATCAGCTTTCACTCGGTTTAACAGTAGAGATAGGAGGAGGATAAGTTCACGAAACCAGGGTATGTCAAGAAAGCGGGTTCGCTTCTCGGCCGCAGCGTCCGCTTTTATGACGCAGGCGAAAAGCAACAACGCCCGTGTGTTTGAGCTTTCGGCACACATTAAAGATCCTCAGGTGGTCAAAATTAATCCGGAACCCTGCACTACGGCGCGCCCCGTCGTCTGTGTAGCGTCGGTACGTTAAACCTCATAATCAATCAATCACGAATCCACGGTGAAAAGAGGAATCGAGCGAATGCATTCCTAATCAAAATACCTGGGAAAAGGTCCGCGATGGTCTTGTTCACGTCCCGCTTGGGTTTTTTCGACGGTTTTCCCCACTGCCGAGGTCTGCTTGTACAGGTATCGTCAGTTGCCTCATTCACGTAGGCGCACACAGCCGCGGCATGCTTACAGCGGCCGGTTATTCCCGCCTTGCAAGAGCACGTCCCGGAGGCTACGGACCGTACGTGTATGAGCGCAGATCTGCATGAGAAAAGTCAATTTAGTATCACCACCTTTGTGTACTTAGCCTCTGAGCGCGAATACATTCGACAAGAGCGGTAGAAAGAACACAAAAAAGAGAAAGAGCGTTTACCTTCAGACGCACATCGTAGACGACGTTGTCTTGCACTGGTGAAACGCACTTGGCGTTCAGCTGATGCTCGTCTGCTTGTATTATCTCCTCCACCGCGAACACATGTTTCACGAGTAGCTTTCCCTTCGTCATGTTCGCCTCCCTAAAAAATAGCTCACAGTTTTCGAGAGGAAGGAAGCCGCAATAGAACGTCAACGTGTTACTCGCCATTGAAAACCAGCAGCGGCGGCACCGCGGATCGGTATGCCTGCGGCCAACTAGGGCGGTTCTCCGCCACGCGCAGCGCTGCTGGATGGATGGATGGATGGATGTGGCTGTACCTTTTAGATCGGGCGGTGGCTAGCGCCACCAAGCCGTAATATCTAATGAACCAAAAACTATATTTATTTTTTTCCTTAAAAAAAGTTTGAGGATTCGTACTTCGCAGTGAAGAGTTTAATTTTCACTCGCGCCTTGACTTTAGCCACCAATCAGATAACCTCCTTCTAGTGAAGTCTACCCGCTTAAAGTTTATTTTGCCCTCCCGGTCCCTAAACCCCAGTGCTTTGAAAAACTCTGCGCCATCATCCTGAACTATAGGGTGAAGCCCTTTACAGAACATTATCAAGTGTTCGGCAGTTTCTTCTTCCTCTCCACACACACTGCATACTGTGTCTACCCCTTCGTATTTGGCCCGATATGTCTTGGTTCGCAGTACTCCCGTTCTGGCCTCAAACAGTAGAGAACTACCCCGAGTATTATCATAGATCCTTTCCTTGGCAATTTCCTGCTTAAACGTTCGATAGACCTCTAGTGCGGACTTCTTAATCATGCCCATTCTCCACATGTCAGTCTCCGTTTCCTTCACTTTCTTCTTAACCGATAGTTCTTTTTGGTTTGGCCAACTGCTGTTTTCTAAGTATTTACCAGTCAACTTCCTGGTTCGCTTCCTCCATTTTGTATCGACATTCTTCATGTACAAGTAGCTGAAAACCTTCCTAGCCCAACGCTCTTCCCCCATTTCTCTCAATCGCTTCTCAAATTTTATCTTGCTGCTAGCTTCCCTGCCCTCAAATGATGTCCATCCCATATCACCTTGTACTCCCTGATTTGGTGTATTCCCGTGAGCTCCTAAAGCAAGCCTACCTATTCCACGTTGCTTAATTTCTAATCTTGCTTGAACTTCTGATCTCATGCACAAGACCGCATTGCCGAACGTCAGCCCAGGAACCATGACCCCTTTCCATATTCCTCTCACAACTTCATACCTATTGTAATTCCACAGTGCCCTATTTTTCATGACTGCTGCATTCCTGTTACCTTTAGTCGTCATGTACATTTCGTGTTCCCTCAGATACTCGGTCCCATTGCTTATCCATACGCCCAGATATTTGTATTTATCTGTTATCTCTAGCGTGACCTCCTGCATTCTAAGCTCACTACCTTCGTTGTCATTGAAAATCATGACTGCTGATTTTTCCTTACTGAATCTGAAATCTAACCTATCTCCCTCATTACCGCAGATGTCCATCAATCTCTGCAAATCTTCCTTGTTGTTGGCCATTAGCACCATATCATCTGCGTACATTAATGCTGGTAGTGCCTGATCAATAAGTTTTCCTTGTTTGACTAAAGAGAGGTTGAAGCCCAGTCCACTTCCCTCTAATTTTGCCTCTAATCCTTGTAGGTACATCATGAATAATAAGGGTGACAGGGGGCACCCCTGCCTAGTATCGCTCCAGCGCGCCACCTGGCCCAGCCGTACGCCCCTATACACATGGACTGCGCTCCGCGGCAAAACGAGAGAGAAAGAGAGGGGGGGGGGGAGGTCATTATCGGCCCCGCGAGTGCTTTGAAGACGCCGCTGCTACATAGACCCGCAGTTACCCCTGAGGAAGGAACCAAGCCGGTTTTGAAACGTCGGGCTTGTTCAAAACTTTTGGTTGGAGTCTAAATCATCTCCCAGTGCTCTGCATTTGCGAAGCTGCTTGAATCCGTACGCTGTAGAAATTTGGGTTTTTCGCTGACAAGTGTTACGCATGGCTGTGTAGATTGCTTTACGATGGACGCAGTGGTGTTCAACATGAATCCTGGAGTGTGTAGTGCATGCCCCTTTGGCGTGGGCATGTGTTTGACGCAACGCAAGAATCTTTCGTTTGCACTGCCGCGCTGAAGCCCTGCTCCGTACATATTGAGCTGCCCGTGCGCCGCAAGCATGACGGACGCCGGAATCTTCAGGCTCTTTGTTGCCAAATGTTTTAGCGGCTGTTGGCAATGTATGCGCGGATGGTTTTATGATGAACGACGTGGTGTACGCGCGGATTGTGTTGCAATTGGCGAAGTGGTGCAGAACGTAAATCCGGGAGCGTGTGCACGCCTCTTTGGCGCGATATTTATCAAGGGATCGTGTGTTTGCCATGACGCGAGAAACCCTAGGACTTGATACTGCTCGCGTATGAGTGCAATCTTATTCAAATACGGTGAAAAAAAAAGAAGACGGGAGCAGATTCGTGAATATTTGCTCATTTGTCACAACTATATGGCTCACAACTATGTCACAACTCTGGCTCATGCCATTGCAAGTAAAGTTGATGCTATAGAAATGTAAAAGAAATGTGTTCGGGAATAGCGTCATTATAAACTTCTAAGCTGCTTCTGGTAAGTGTACTTAAATTTGCAAAAAGCAGGAAGCACTCATCTTCCAGCCTTTCATGTGAACTAATTTAATGTTAATCGGCGTTATGACTTGAGCCTGTTATAGAACACGTTACATATCCGCGTGCAATGTATCCGTCACAGTGAATGACGCTTGCATAACCAAGTAGTAACATCAATAGAGTGCCGATAAGGATCGTAGTGTCGAAACCAAAAAAAGGAAAAGTACATCTAGGGCTTCTTTTCTTTGTTACACACAATAATAATGAGATTAAACATACAATCATGCCAAACAAAAGAAGTATATTTAAGGGCTTGTTTTCTTTGTTAGACACAATATTGTCACGGGGTGAGGTAGGCAGAGGGTAGAAATATATTTACCGATTGTAGACGGAGCACACAGTGTCCTTGAACCAAGATGGCAGAGTGGCACCCCCCACCCCCCACCCCACGGGCTTTTTGTTCAATCGTCTTTTTGATCACCTTTATGGTGCCTTTGTTGACGTTAATGATGACTTGTATTATATAGCCGCCGCCGGGAAAAGTGCCGTCTCGGCGCTTAAGAAATCGTGCGATCCTGCGCAGAGAAGTACGGCTTAAGGCGGGAGACGTGTACAATATCAGTGGACAGCAGAGACGATGAGGATGGAGTGTCCAAGGGGGCGATCTCATAAATGACCTCGGTCAGTCGGCGACCTTGTAAAGCCTGTTGTAGCAAGCGAGGAACTTCGAGGACAGGCCGACGTGACGGGAGGGAGTTCAGAGCAAGACCAACGATCCTGGGGAGTAAGAGACAGCTCTGTGACGGCTGTCGTAGCGATCCTTTTGAGAGAGCTGCGAGGCAGAAAGGCGATCCCAGGCAATCCGGCGGGCCACTTGAGCCCGAGTAGTTGCATCGCGAGTGTACTCGGTAGGAGTGTCAGTATGCGACGGCAGAAGAGTGTCAAAAGGCAAAGTGGGGTGACGGGGGAAAAGTCAGTTGCGTCATGTCGTGACGAGTTGTAGGCAAACATCACGTAAGGCAAAGTGGCATCCCAATCACGATGATCTGCGGAGACATACATCGATAGCATTGTCGTCAGTGTGCGGTTAAGGCGCTCAGTGACTCCATTTGTTTGCGGGTGGTACGCAGTGGTGAGTTTATGACATGTGGAACACGAGCGAAGAAAGTCGTCCACGACCTTGGAGAGAAATGAACGACCACGGTCAGTCAGCAGTTGACGCAGTGCTCCATGGTGGAGAATAACGTCATGAGGGAGAAAGTCCGCGACATCAGTAGCACAGCTTGTTGGTAGCGCTCGCGTGATGGCAAAGCGTATCGCGTAGTCTGTAGCCACCACTACCCACTTATTCCCACTCAGAGACGTTGGAAATGGTCCAATGAGCACCTCCACCCAGCGCCTCCTCCAAAACGTCACGAGGTGAGGGCAGGCAGAGGGTAAAAATATATTTACCGATTGTAGACAGAGTACACAGTGTCCTTGAACCAAGATGGCGGAGTGACAACCCCCCACAAGCATTTTGTTCAATCATCATCTTCATCGCCTTTATGGTGCCTTTGTCGATGTTAATGATGACTTGTATCAATATTATTGAAATCTAATGCACAGTAATGTCAAATGGCATGATGGTCTGTTAGATCTCATTAATATTATGTCTAACAAAGAAAACAAGCCCTTAAATGTACTTCTTTCCTTCATTCATAGTGCGGGTCTCGATCCGAAAGACTTGGTTCCTTCAGGTAGTATATGAGGAATTATTGGTCGGCTGCCAACTCGTAATAAGCTCACAGACTACGCGATGCCAAACAGACACAAAAAAAGTGTTCCACACTCACCGTCATGGCTACTGGCCACGCTCCCTCATTTAATTTACATATACTCCATTAAGTGGACAGGAAGATGGCTGCCATGGTAGCTCAGTTGATAGAGTATCGAACTTGTTATTCGAAGGTTGCAAATTTGGTCCCTGCCGACGGCAAGTAATCTTTTTGTTCAATTTTCTTTCTTCACATTTACATTACAAAAACAAAACAGCGCATAGTGTGAAACAAAGGACATTTTACAAGCTTAGAACGGGGCAAGGAAAAAAAACAAGTGCCTGAGGAACAATTGGCAGACGTTGATTCACGAAATGTACCTGAAGAATGTACCCATATTTTGTAAAGTCCTGCAATGTTGATTGTGATACATGGTGCTAGGAACATGTTTGCTGTAAGAAATATCTGAATATGCACTTATCCTACAACTACCCCCCAAACCTCCTGGAATTACACATATGAATGATGGGCATACTATGTAAACTTACAAAGCTAAAAGAATGACATATGTCATGGTATTTGAGCACAGGCTCTTCTTATTTATTGCAATGTGCAAGATTCACTGATGACATTAATATAACACTGCAAAACCCCATGCCCTCCCCAAAAAGCGTTTTTTCTTTACACTCATCTAACAGAAAGGTACATAGTTTATTCGGATGTAATTATTACTTGCCTAACAGGACATAATTCTTAACTAGAAACCAATACCACCTAGAGCCTCTTTGACATGTAAGCTTACTTTTTTCCTCTATAGTAGATTTCCTATTCAATTGCATACAGTTTCTGCCCCGCCGCGGTGGTCTAGTGGCTAAGGTACTCGGCTGCTGACCCGCAGGTCATCAAATCCCGGCTGCAGCGACTGCATTTCCGATGGAGGCGGAAATGTTGTAGGCCCGTGTGCTCAGATTTGGGTGCACGTAAAAGAACCCCAGGTGGTCGAAATTTCCGGAGCCCTCCACTACGGCGTTTCTCATAATCATATGGTGGTTTTGGGACGTTAAACCCCACATATCAATCAATCAATCAGTATGGCAAAGCAACCGTAAATCTCCAAGTATTCAAGAACTTTATTAAAGATGTGCTGTTCAAATTATAATGTATAAGAGCTTCTTGATGCAGGCCAAAAGATCATTGAAGTTGCTCCAGTAAGCTATTACCATCTGTTATTAGAAAATAAGCATCTGTTTTCAAAGTAGGTAATAAGTTATATAGATGCTATAGTAATTTTTCTGGGGCTCTACAAAAGGGCTCCACCCGGGATTAGTCACGTAATTTTAATTCTTCAATAAAGTTTATTCTCTGGAAAAAATGTTGACAGAGTTTGAACAAAATGAACCAGGATGATTAACAGGTCAGGCAAGCTCTCCATTGAATAAATTATGATACATTTGGCATTACTTAGCACTAACCAGTGTACTTTATGGTGACCCCGCTCCTAACTGCAGCGGGCGATCACCGCGGGTTCAGGCTTAGCGAGCCACAGGGCCGATACTCCGTTCACTCGCGTGTAGCGCACCGCTCCGCGCGCGCTCAACTGATAAGGCGTTTAGCGCGGCGCGGCAAATAGACAGTGTTCTAATGTAACAGTACACAACACTTTATTGCCTCTGGCGGCACCCCGAACAACAGTACAACGTCCGCTCCCGGGACGCGGGTAGCAAAGGCACCCGCACGCGGACGTTCACAATAAGGGAAAAACCGCGAGCACGTCGCAGCTGGCAATGGCGAGCTTTGACACGCCGGTCGGGAAAAGGTCCCTCACAGCTATGCTGCGCACTCTCACGATGGCCACTGGGCCCGGTCGCGAGTGTTAGGGCAAACCTCGTACGCGCTGGGCCTACGGCAAGTGCGGCTCGTTGTGGTACGACCACTTCAAGCACTAGGCACCGCTGTGGGCTTAGCGTACGCTACCGAAGCTAGCACTCAAGTAAACACGCCTGCCGAGGTGCCCAAGGCCACCCCAGGCAGGCTGCAGTCCGGCGATTCCCAAAGGGGACGCGGACGAAGGAAAACACGTGCTTACCCGGCGCTGTCCACGGAGAAGAGACCGCTCCATCGGCGCGCGCCGTGCCCGCACGTGGCGCCATCTATCGCCACGTGGTGTTAACAGAGCAGGAAAGCGAAAAGGTGTGGCCGTGTGGCGGAATGCCCCCGAAATGGTCGCAGGCGCGCCTCAGATCCCCACAACTTAAGAGACATATCTATATAAAGAAAGGGTGGGGGGTCAAAATATGCATTGCTCATGTCATGCTTTTTAAAAGGCATGGGCATCTTACACAGATAACAAGGTGCTCTATAATTGTCATGGCATGGTGAACAATCAATACACATTGAGATTGCTTTCAGATTTAATGTATTTATGTTACCTGTAATGAATTGGACAATATTATTTCAGAAAAGACAATTCGGCATGAGCACTACTATAACAGAGCTGAGCTAGTTGGTTTGTCTTCCTGTAAAGAGACAGGGCATGCAAACATGGACACCAGAGAGAAATAAAGGTGCCACAAATGCTGATTAACAACTGAAAAGATGCACAGCAGCAGAAAAGAAAGCAGACATTCGAACTTGCCTGCACATACTTCACGTGTCTGTGTTCGCATGTCGCATATGTTAACTTTGCACTTGTAATAACTATAAACCAGTTGTAAAGATTCTAACCAATAATTTCTATTTAGGCTCAAGAACTTAGTCATATCTTTATTGTTTCAGCACTAAAATGCTGCTCAAGTCTTTTTTCCTAAGAACTATGAAACATGAAAGCATTTTTTATGAAATGTTTGTAGATAGACTGCAAGTAATCCAGGACTTCCAACCTTTCTTGGGAGCCCTAACCAGGTAAAATTAAGTATTAAGTTAAGCGCATTTTAATAAAGAAAACAAAGCTTTCATAAGTCTCATTTATACTGCTAGATTCACATAAATACATAAATTAACTGAAGAAATTGTGTTTATAAGTTGTCCTATGTCTCAATAGATATTGTCAATAGTTGTCCTATGTCTCAAAAGAAAAAACTTCTTTTTAGCATCTCTAAGGTCAGCTAGCGTATTTTCACGTGCAGAGTCGTGTACTTTGTCTTTTTGTAAACCCCATGCTTTCAATACAAAAGTGTATCTGCTGTGATTGCTAAATAACAGACATTTTCATGGGTGGAATCAGTTCATCTGATAGTAGTATCCTTGTTGTGAACAATGGTGGGTTTTGGGGAAAGCGATAATATGAGTCCCGAAACACCTAGGTTTTGAAGAAATTTATTTGCTGTAAGTACATGTGAAATGATGCGTTTTAGAGTGGCACTCTTTCATAAAACAGGAGAGCGGTTACGACACGTCAAGTGGTAATGGCGGAACCAGTCTCAGTACCCAGCCAACCAAACGTCGTCTTCTTCACCGACTGAGTCCTACCCCCTGCCTTTCTGAGTAGCACTCATCTTCACTACATTTTCCTCCCCTCCGGAAAAGAGCCATGCTGGCAACTCATGGGCAGGAGACGATAGAGGGATCATAACACGATTTTAGGCGGTCTACCGTATATACTCGTGTAAGGGCCGCCCTCGTGTAAGGGCCGCACCCCAACTTTGAAAACGGATATTTCGAAAAAAAAAAAAAAACAAAAGTTCAAAATGTCCCGCCAGAAAAGTGTAGTTAGTTCATTTACAGCCAGATGGCGCTGCACGCTTTTCCGCTTTTATTCTACTTCCGCCGACGCGCCGACCACGCTGTTGACAGCGCGCCGCCATATTTGCCTTGTGCGGCCTCTTTGTTGGCATCGTTCCTAGCATCGTGTCGATACGTTGGCAGCGCGACTTCAGATCGGTGTCGTCGGTGTCACTTTGCTGGTTGTAGTGAACCCTGCAGAAGCCAGCGCACGTGACGGACGATGGGCCGGCATCTGAGATCATTCACTGCAGCATTTAAGCTGCAAGTGATTGACTATGCCGAGGAGCACGGGAAGCGGGAAGCTGGACGAAAGTACGACGTCGATGAGAAGCGCGTGCGTTACTGGATGAATCAGAAAGATGCCCTCGCCGCTACTAACAGGAGCCGAAAGGCGTTTCGCGGGAAAAAGTGCAAGTACCCGCAACTCGAAAGCGAGCTCGTCAACTACGTCGTCGACACACGAAGGGACGGCTACGCCGTATCGACTGACATGATACGCGTCAAAGCCCTCAGCATCGCTCGCCACATGGAAATACCCCCGGCACAATTCAAGGCAAGTCGGGGCTGGGCTACGCGGTTTATGAACCGTAACCAGCTTTCTATTCGGCGCCGAACGACGATTTGCCAAAAACTGCCGCGCGAGTACGAAGACCACGTCATTAAGTTTCATCGCTTCGTGAATGCTCTCAGGAGGGAGCATGAATACGACCTGTCCCAAATTGGGAATGCGGACCAGACACCTGTGTGGTTCGATGCACCGGAAAGCACCACAGTGGATTTAAAAGGTGCGAAAAGTGTGTCTGTGCGCACGACTGGTGCAGAACGCCAAAGGTGCACTGTGATGTTGTGCATCACGGCAGACGGCAGGAGGCTTCCGCCGTACGTCGTATTTAAAAGGAAGACTCTCCCAAAAGAGAAGTTCCCTCAGGGAATCGTCGTACGTGCGCAAGAGAAGGGCTGGATGTCCGAGGAACTGGTCGTTGACTGGATTAAGACCGTCTGGGCAAACAGACCTGGAGGGCTGTTACAACGGAAAGCCCTCCTTGTTTTGGACAGCTTTAGGGGCCACTTGACCGACCGCGTCAAGAACCGAGTTGCCGCAACTCGTACGGACTTGGCCGTCATTCCCGGTGGCCTGACGAGTGTGCTGCAGCCGCTCGACGTATGCGTCAACAGACCATTCAAAGTGGAATTTCGCCGATGTTACTCTGAATGGATGGCTGGAGGCGTCCACGAGAAGACCCCTACAGGACGGCTGAAGCGGGCGTCGCTCCAACAGGTGTGTGAATGGATTTTGAATGCGTGGCGTGCCATGTCAGTAGAAGTAGTTGCTAAAAGCTTCAAGGTAACGGGAATTTCGAACTCCATGAACGGCACCGAAGATGACCGTCTCTGGGAAGACGCGGACGCCGAGGCGAGCTCCTCCGAGAACGAGGACAGCGAAATGGAATCCGAATAAAAACATTTCTGGCATGTCATTTGTGACTCTTGCACTCTGCTACTGTTGCATAAACAGTACAGACCTTTGGCCTGTACTGCCTGTACTAAATCGGCCTGATTCGTGTAAGGGCCGCACCTAGCAAAATTTTCGAAAAAAAAGTGCGGCCCTTACACGAGTATATACGGTATGTGGACGGTGTTCAGAGACGCCGAGTAAGACACGAGCATGGCTCATAGCAACAACAAGAAGACCCCCCTTTATTCCCAACTGCCCCCCTGCTATATACCCCACATGAGGTGGCGCGCGCATGCCGACAGCGCCATCCATTAGAGGATTAACATAGCACTCAGCGTCCACTACATCTTCCCTCCCGGGATAGTTACATGTTCAACCTGCGCGGCGGTTTCACGGCACGGCCAGAACGCGTACGCTTAGGTTCATCACACTGAGGCGCACTTGCTTGCACAGGTAGCGTCTGCACTTCAGGCGAGGGAGGCATCTTCACAGGCGGCACAGGTGATACGCACGAAGCACTTGAAGCACTTGGAGACAATGATTCCGACGCTGAGGTCGAGGCTGAGTCTCTTGGCGAATTTGATGACAAGGTTCCATGCGTCGGTGATGAAGCCATTGATGCTTGCTGTTGGACATTTTGGTCATCTACAAACGGCACCAGATGGCAACGGTTCCTCTGGACAACACCACTTTGAGTCTCGACCACATATGACCTTGGTCGCTGAGCTGGGCTGAGGACACGACCGCTGCAACCTAAATCCTTTATCCACACATCCTCCCCCATACTGAGAGAAATCAGAGGAGTAGTACTGTGACGGCTATTGTAGTCCTTCGCCTGTTTCAACTTCGCCGCAGTATCCTGTGCTTGAAATTCCTCGTGATTGGGTAAGGCCGGAAGAAGTCGTTCAGGCAGAACCGGAAGACGAGTTTGTAGTCTCCTTCCCATGAGTAACTGAGCTGGAGAGACGCCCGAAACTCCAGGTGTGTCTCGGTATGCGAGTAGAGCGAGGTACGGATCCGGGCTTTTCTTCAGCAAATCTTTCACGGTACGCACCATGCGCTCTACCTCTCCGTTACTCTGAGGGTATCGAGGGCTGCTGGTCTCGTGGCAGAATCGATACGCCGTTGCAAAGTCGGCGAACTCCTTGGACGAGAATTGAGGTCCATTGTCCGTCCGCACAACGTCTGGTATCCCAAAACGGGCAAAACAACTCTTGACCGCAGCAACAACCGCTTTTGCTGATGAAGTTCCCAGTGTGACTATTTCTGGAAATCGGGAGTAGTAGTCGACAATGAGGACGTAGTCGCGTCCTTCCAGGTGGAACAAGTCGATTCCCAGGCGTTGCCATGGTCGTTCCGGTGTTGGCGTTGGTGACAGTGGCTCAGAACGCAAGGTTCGCGTCTCAGCACACTTAGCACATTGAGCCACAAGGTCCTCAATATGCTGGCTGCAATGGGGCCACCAAACGCACTCGCGGGCGCGCACTTGACAGCGGCGGACACCTTGATGTCCTTCGTGCAGTAGTGCGAGAATGTCCTTGCGTTGGGCTGACGGGATGACAATGCGGCGATCCAGTAAGAGTAACCCATCGTACACACTCAGTGTTTCTCGCTCCTTCCAGTATGGTGCTAAATGGGTCGGAACTCTCTTCTTGGACGGCCAGCCTTTCTCACAATAAGTCATAATAGAAGAACACTCGCTATCTTGAGCTTGAAGACGACGGATCTCGTCTAGCTGATTTTCCAGTTGTAAAGGTAGCTCCTTGAGAACTTCCCCTATATAGACTTCCAAGCTGCTGACTGCTTTAGAAGTTGGCAAGTCGCAGGGTGCTCTTGATAGTGTGTCCGCTGTGGCTAGCAGTTTTCCAGGAACATACTTGACGGCGAACTGATAGCGCATCAGTTTTATTCGCATACGTTGAATTCGAGGTGGCAAGATGTCCAGATCTTTACTTGACAGGAGAGCTACAAGCGGAAGGTGATCGGATTCGACCTCAAAGCTTAGTCCACGTAGGTATTGATCGAACCTGGTGACAGCCCATGTGACAGCCAGAGACTCCTTTTCCGTTTGACTGTAGCGTCCTTCCGTAGTAGTGAGAGATCTGGAAGCATAGGCAACTGCTCGTCGAATTCCTGACGGTTGATCTTGGAGTAAAACGGCACCAAGGCCATGAGAGCTTGCGTCAGCCGATACTATAGTTGGGTAATGGGGATTGTACATAGCCATACATGTGTCGGAGCTGAGCAAAGACTTTATCTTCTTGAACGCTTCCTCTTGGTTGTAACTCCAGCTCCACGCGTTATTCTTGTTGAGGAGTGCACGAATAGGTGCGGAGATCTCAGACAGTTTTGGAATGAATCGAGCCACATGGTTTACCATTCCAAGTAATCGGCGAACACCACTAACATCGATTGGTGGTGGGAGATCCATGATAGCCTTGACTTTGTCCGGGTCTGGACTAATTCCTTGCTGGCTGACGACAACTCCTAAGAACTTGACAGAAGAGACCCTGAACTGACACTTCTTTTCATTAAGAGTGACACCCGCTTGAGTCAACCGTGCCAAGACGTCAGCTAGACGCTGGTCGTGCTCTTGATGGTTCCTACCAAAGACGAGTATGTCGTCTATCATGTTGACGACTCCGGTGATGCCTTCGAGCAGTCTCGACATGAAGCGTTGGAAATACTCGGGTGCTGTCGCAATGCCAAAGGGAAGACGCTTGTAGCAATATCGGCCAAAAGGTGTGATGAATGTCGTCAGTTCTTCACTCTCACGAGTTAGTTTTATTTGGTGGAAGCTGGATCTTGCATCGAGCTTGGAAAAAATTTGTGCCCCACCAAGCTGACCTAAGATGTCTTCAACTGTCGGCAGAATGTAGCGTTCCCGCTGGATAACCTTGTTAAGCTTCGTCAAGTCGACACAGAGCCTGTACCCGCCCGACGACTTCGGCACGACGACGAGGCCTGAACACCATGCGGTAGGCGTGTCAACCTTGCGAATGACTCCTTGGGTTTCCATTTCATCCAATTCCTTCTTCACATGCTCTAGCAGAGGCAGAGGTATTCGTCGAGGAACACTTAATGAAAAGGGACGAGCATCTTGAGCGACGCGGATGTGGTATTCTTCCTGTACTTCGCCAAGCCCACGAAAAATTTTTGATTGAGATGACGGAATACCATCCACAGAGTCCAAAAACTGAACGATGCCCAAGTCTTCAATTGCTGGTAATCCCAGGAGGTGTGTCGTCTGGTTCTTGATAACATACAGTCTTTGCACAGACACTTTGTTACGCCACTGCAAGGTAGCAGTGAAAGATCCCAGAACGTGCAGCCTTTGATTTCCAGGACCGGATACCTCGGCGTCCACTTTATCCAAAACAGTAGGTAATGCCGGAAAAGAAGGTGAAACCACCGTTATTTCGGCCCCTGAGTCTATCTTGAAGTGTGCGAGGTGACCATTCACGTGAATGTCGGCATATCGTGCCCGACGCGTACTGAGCGCGTGAAGTTCCACTGAGCCTAACAGCTCTTTCCGATGCTTGGCCCGGCAAACAGCAATAAAATGACCTTGCTTCTTGCAGAAATTGCATGTGGCTTTGCGAGCTGGGCATTCTTTTCGAGAGTGGTGACCACGGCCGCAGTAATCGCAAGTAGACTGAGTTGGCTGCACAGATTTGCTGCGACGCGATGAAGCGTTCTTCGCGCGTTGCGCCGCGTCCACGTTTAAGCTGTCAAAGGCCCCGTTCTCGCTGGGAGTTTCACGGGATAGACGCTCTTTTTCGGCTTCTTCATGAACACGCGCTTGGCACAACGCTTCCTCAGCTGTAAGTTTCGTACATCGGCACAACTGATCCGATAGCTTCTCATTCCGCAATCCAACGACAAACTTGTCTCGCACAAGGCGGTCTTCGATCTCGGCGTTGTTGTACCCACAACGCTTGACAAGATTCCTGAGCGCGGTGAAAAATTCATCAACCGGCTCCCCAAGTTGTTGCACTCGGCGGTGAAATCGGCGGCTCTCGTAAATCTCATTGATAGGGTGGACAAAATGCGAAGTGAGCTTAGCCTTGACTTCCGCAAACGGGCGGTTTTCCGGAGCAGACAGTCCTAGCGACGACAAGACGCTACGTGCTTGGGAACCCATGCAATATAAAAGAGTTCGCACCTGCACCTCGTCGGTGGCTGTGTTGATACCGGCCGCGAAGGCGTAATCTTCGTACCTCGTTATCCATGTTGTCCATTCCCCAGGGCTGGTGAAGTTGAAAGGCGACGGAGGCTGAAGTCCCGGTGTACCGACGTGAATGAAGTTGAGCTGAGAAGGTCCGGCGTCTGTCTCCTCCATAACTCCGCGTTAGACGCCCACTTCTGACACCATGTTCAGAGACGCCGAGTAAGACACGAGCATGGCTCATAGCAACAACAAGAAGACCCCCCTTTATTCCCAACTGCCCCCCTGCTATATACCCCACATGAGGTGGCGCGCGCATGCCGACAGCGCCATCCATTAGAGGATTAACATAGCACTCAGCGTCCACTACAGACGGTCTCGCATCCACGGCGTCGTTGATCATGGGGCTGCTCTAGTAGCTCGACAATGTAATTGACGGGTGAAGTTTTTTTAACCACACTGTAAGGGCCGTCATACTTGTACGTTAGTTTCGTTGAGAGACCAGGGCTGGTTCAAGGGATGCGAAGCCAGACAAGGTCATCTGATGCATAAGAAGCCGGAGGCGTCGGGCTATCGCGGTGGTGTTTCTGGCGTTGCTGTTCAGCACTTGTGAAGGAGTGGGCAAGCTGACGACACTCTTCCGCGTATTTAGCAGCTTGTCACATCATCGTCGACTCAGCAACATCTGGGTGGTAAGGAAGGATGGTGTCTAGCGTGCAAGAGGGCTCGCGACCATAAAAGAGGAAGTATGGAGAGAAACCAGTGGTTGTCTGGACAGCAGTATTATGCGTGTATGTTACAAAAGGGAGAATACTGTCCCAGTTGGTGTGATTGGTTGCGACGTACATTGACAGTATATCTCCTAATGTACGGTTGAATCGTTCTGTAATGCCATTAGTTTGAGGATGATACACGGTGGTGGTGCGATGAATGACTTGGCATTCCTTGAGAAGCGATTCGACGGCGTCCGACAAAAACACACGCCCTCGGTCACTCAGGAGTTCGCGTGGTGCACCGTGACGTAAAATAATCTGATGTAATGTGAAACGACCGACGTCACTGGCTGACGCAGAAGAGAGTGGTGAAGTTTCTGCGTAGCGCGTAAGGTGATCGATAGCGACGATTACCCAGCGATTTCCAGCTTCTGTAATCGGAAGAGGTCCATACAGATCGATACCAACACGGTCAAACGGTCGGGCAGGACAAGGTAAGGGTTGTAGTGGAGCTGGAGAACTTGGAGTGGGATTCTTCTGGCGTTGGCAAGCGAGACAGGAACGTACGTAGCGACGAACGAAGCGACACGTTCTACGCTAGTAGTAGCGGTGGGACAGGCGGGTGTAGGTTTTTAACACTCCAGCATGGGCGCATTGTGGGTCGGCGAGAAAGGAGGCGCATATGTCTGATCGGAGACGACTGGGAATGACTAGGAGCCATTGGCGTCCTTCGGAAAGATAATTCTGTCTGTATAGCAAACCATCTCTGATAACGAAGTGCTGTATTTGACGGCGCATACCTCTAGGGATATTTTTCGAGGGAGCTCGACTCAACAAGTTGATAAGAGAAGCGATCCAAGGATCTTTTCATTGCTCCTGTAGCATGTCGCTGATACTAAGTGCAGATACGTCGTGGGCAGGCGAGGACGGCGACTTGTCACTACACCGTAGAGGTGATCGGGACAAAGCGTCTGCGTCGGAATGTTTTCAGCCAGATCTGTAAACGACGTGAATGTCGTACTCTTGTAGCCGAAGCGCCCAACGGGCGAGCCGGCTGGTGGGATCTTTTAACGAGGAGAGCCAATATAATGCGTGATGATCTGTAACGACACTGAATGGGGGCCCGTAAAGATAGGGTCTAAACTTGCCTGTGGCCCATATGATGGCTAGACACTCTTTTTCGGGGACTGAATAGTTGGCTTCTGCTTTTGTGAGTGCACGGCTGGCGTAAAAGACGACGTACTCATCAAATCCAGGTTTACGCTGGGCGAGCACAGCACCGAGGCCAACTCCGCTAGCATCCGTGTGTATTTCCGTCGGGGCAAGAGGATCAAAATGTCGTAGTATAGGAGGTGACGTAAGATGGTGGCGGAGTGTGGCAAATGCACCATCACGAGCTGACGACCAACTAGGAAGGTCGTTGTGGTCGGCAAGAAGGTCAGTCAAGGGCGATATGATGGAGGCGAAGTTGCGAATAAAACGACGAAAATATGAACATAAACCGAGGAAGCTGCGAAGCTCTTTTAAGGTCTTCGGCTTAGGAAATTCGGCAACGGCACGGAGTTTCATCGGATCCGGAAGAATGCCATCTCTAGATACAAAATGGCCCAAAATTAGGAGTTTTCGAGCGCTGAAGCAGCACTTAAAGTTGAGCTGTAGACCGGCGGAGGTGAGGCAAGTAAGCACTGTCTCGAGCCGCTGAAGATGCATTGAAAAGTCGCTTGAAAATATCACGACATCGTCTAAATAACACAGACATGTCTGCCTTTCAGGCCACGGAGGATGTTGTCGATCATGCGCTCGAAAGTGGCAGGCGCATTGCAGAGCCCGAATGGCATGATGTTAAATTCGTATAAGCCATCAGGGGTAACAAAAGCCGTCTTGGGGCGATCAGCCTCAGCCATGGGAACCTGCCAATAACCTGAAAGCAGATCTAGTGACGAGAAAAACTTCGCGCCTTGTAAGCAGTCAAGGGCATCGTCTATGCGAGGTAGCGGGTAAACATCTTTGTGCGTGATCTTATTCAACCGGCGGTAGTCGACGCAGAATCTTATTGAGCCATCCTTTTTCTTGACTGGAACAACTGGGGATGCCCATGGGCTGTTAGAGGGCTCAATAACACCTCGCTTCAACATGTCGCCAACTTGTTCCGCGATTATGGGACGCTCAGATGCCGATACCCGATACGGACGCTGACGTAAAGGAGCGTGATGACCAGTGTCGATTTCGTGAGATACTGTGGAAGCACGGCCCAAAGTCAGTTGCTGGTGGTCGAAGCTGGCGCGGAAGCGCTCGAGGAGGGCGATGATGTCGGAGCGCTGCTGGGCCGTAAGGTTGGTGTCGATGCAGCTAGAAATTGCGTCGGTGAACGATGGGGAAGGGGATGACGCGCAGCAATCAACAGAGTCAATAGGTAGCGTAGTCGAGTGGTCAGGAACTACACGTTCACTCGAGGGATCAATGTCATCAGCAAAGCCCAAGCACTCTCCGCACAGTAACTTGGAAGGCGAGGGAAACGGATTTGAAACATAAATTGCACTTGATGCATCGTGAACATTCAGAACGGCAAAAGCAATCAGGAAACACTTGCGGCGAACAGCGGTTTCAGAAGATGTAAAAAGAACAGTTGAGCCAATAGAGACGTTACAGGATAGCGGAACTAGGGCAGATGATAACGGGGGTATCGAAGTGTCGGCAACAACGAAAACATTTGCAGGTGAAAGGGACGAGTCGAGTGAAGCAGCGTCACATAATGACGCGAACTCCACTTCGGCGCGAGCACAGTCGATGACGGCATGATGTGTGCAGAGAAAGTCCCAGCCTAATATAATGTCATGGGAACACTGCGGGAGCACTACAAACTCGACATTAATATCGTCAGCAATAGCGACAGGTGCTCTGCATGCAGCAAAAGGGCGAATTCGTTGCTCGCTCGCAGTGCTCAAAACGAAGTTGTGAAGAGGCATTGTGACTTTTTTTAGTCGACGGCGAAGTTTTTCAGTCATTACAGACACTGCGGCGCCAGTATCGACCAATGCAAAAACAGGTATACCTTCGACGGAGACCGCAACGACGTTGGACGGCGAAAAAAACAAGGTCTTGTGGAGTTCGAAAGATTCGCAGATCCTGCCCCCGAAACTGCAGCTCCTAGTTTTCCTCAGGGACAGGGCGAGGTCGACGTAGCATAGGGGAAAGAGAATGGCGGTGAGGTGAAGGCAACCGGTGTCTGTTGAAGTTCTGGCGAGGTGAAAATGTGTCCATGGTCGCAGTCTCACCAGATACAGCAGGCTCTGGTCGTTGTGGGAAATCATAATTGTTGGGCCTGACGTCGTCACACAGGAACAACTCACGCCGTCAACGAAATCGTGCCACGTGACCCGCAATTCCACAGGCGAAGCATACGGGGCGGTTGTCTTGAGTGCGCCAAGGGTTCTGAAAGCGCGGAGGTGGTGGTCGGGAGAAAGGACGGGCAGCTTGGTACATAGGCTCAGTCGGTACGACAAAGGGCCGCGTGGACGTAGGCGTTCGCGACAAAGAAACGTGGCCGTTCACGACAGGCGGACGTCGGGTTCCGTTCAGTGCTTCGGCATAGGTCAATGGAGCAGCCACAGGTGGTCCGTGAGCTGTTGGTAGCGCCTCGGACACTTGCTCCGGGAATACTTGCTGTATTGATGGCACTAAAATAGATGGGGCACCTTCGGAGGTATAAGGCACGAAGAACAACTGGCGTGCAACCCCCTCTCGTAAAAATTGCTTGATCTCGAGAAGCAAAGTGGTGTGGTCTATAGCAGTGCCAGCTGAGGTTAAAGCGGAGATTGTTGCACATAGCGCGCTGGCACGACGAGTAGTGTCACGCTGTTTCCAGAGCTCATCATAGCTCTGACAAAGTTGGATCACTTCCGCTACCGTTTGCGGGCTTTTGGCGACAGGCATCTGAAATGCGTCGTCAGTCACGCTTTTCAAGATGTGTTTGTTCTTCTCGGCTTCTGTCATGGCCGAGTTGACACGCCGGCAAAAGTCGACCACATCTTCGATATAACTTGTGTGATTCTCACCATTCTGCTGAGCCCTAGAACGCAAGCGCTGTTCGGCCCGTAGTTTGCGAAGCGCCGGATGGCCAAACAAGTTCGCAAACGCCGTTCGTTGGAAGGCCGACCAGGTGGGGAGGTCTCTCTCGTGATTACGGTACCACAGACTGGCGACGTCGGTCAAATAAAATTGGACGACATCGCCCAGTTGCGCATCGTCCCAGTTGTTGTGCTTGCTCACCCGGTCGTATTCGTCGAGCCAGTCTTCCACGTCTTTGTCATCGGTTTCACTGACGGTAGGCGGATTGCGTTGCCGAAAGGAGCCGAGACAGACAGGAGCTGCAGTAGTTGGAGCCGAGGCGGCCGCCTGCTGATCATCGTCCGTAGACATTGTAGCAACTGGAGGCAACGTACGGTTTCGCAATTCCAGTAT